AAAGCATGGAAGCTACTGAGATCACCATGGGAAAAAGTGTTGTGCTGAAAAACCCAAAACTGAGCCTCTTTTCTATAAGAAGTGGTTAGCCAGGTCAGAAGAAAACCAGGATAGATCGGTGTCATAGAACCTAGAGGAAAAAGAGTATATTTAGGAGGAGGGACTGTTTGATAGTATCAAAACGGACACAGGGAGGGAAAAAAAGGACCATGAGGATTGAGAAAGATCTGTATGTTTAGTAATTGAGAGCTCATTGGCAGCCTTTGAAAGAGCAGTTTCACTAGAATGATAATCAAAAATAAACCAGGAGACTGAAGAGACTGAGAATAGCTCTTTCTCAGAGTTTAGAATGAAGGAAAGGGTCAAGTGAAGGGGGTTTTTTTGAATAGGGAAGGGGAAAGGAATAAGCATTTCTATAGTGCCTACTACATGCTAGGCACTGTGCTAAGAGATTTACAAATATTTCATTTGATATATAGTAATAATAAAAATAATAGAGTTTAAAATTATGGAGGTGGAATAGTTTGGTGTGACAATGATGATGATGATGATGTCAAAGATGTGACCTTCCTTGATAATGACTAAGGTAGGATGGAAATGAAGGTCCTGGGAATTGGTAAAAATTTTATATTTTGAGGACCAGTAGTTAAATTAATATTTATAGACTGTTTGAAAACTGTGATTCTTGGTTCCCCATTTCCTGCTAGTTTTCTTTTATATTATTGCAGAAATGAAAGGCAGTTCACACAGAACTAAAGACCATTTTGTATTTTTCTTTGTTTTAAGGGTGGTCATGGCCAAAGAATTTATCTAATGGCCAGCGTATTGACAGTTGTACAGACTCTGTGTACTTGTTAGTCCTCAGACTCAGACAGCTAAGGTTTTATTGATGGGACTATACTCAAGCCTTTTTGGCATGGTAGAAACTACTGAAGCTTGTGTTTCACTGGTATCTTAATAGAGATCCCAGGGTTTTACCTCCACACAGCAATGAGGCAATGAAGGTTTTGTTGTGAAATATTCTATTGCATAATTAATGTCATTAACTGATTCTACAGATACACATATTGTGGAGAGGGAAAAAGTCAATTAGTTCAAAGGAAATCATAAGTGGAAGATCATTCAAATGGTTTTATTAATGGTCAGGGTTTGATACATCATAGCAGAGTTTGGTTATAATTTATTTGTGATGTTCATGTCTTTAAAAAGATTTTTTTATTCACATTCTCTCCCTTCTACTCCCTCCTCTTCCACCCCAGTTGAAAAAGTTTGAAAAATAAAACTCCTGTTAAAGATACTTAGTCAAACAAAATGAATTCCCACATTGGCCATGACCAAAAAGAAAAGTCACAATACATAGTCTCATTCTGTGATCACCTCTCAATTTGGAATTCAGTACCATGTTTCATCTTGAGTCCTCCAGAATTACAATTGGTAAGAGAACCTAAGGTAAAAGTTGTTTGTCTTTGCAGTATTACTGTTATCATATAAGCTATTCTCCTTGTTCTGCTCACCTTCATCATTTCTTTCTTTCAAGGCAGTTGGGGGTTAAATGATTTGCCCAGGGTCACACAACTACTAAGTGTTGCATTTGAGGCTGCTTTTGAACTCAGGTCCTCCTGACTCCAGGGCCAGTGCTCTATCCGTGCATCACCTAGCTGCCTCACCCCTCCCCCGCCTCGTCATTTCTTACAGCATAATGGTGTTCCATCATATAATATACCATAACTTGTTCAGCCATTCCACAGTCGATGCGTACTCCTTTGCCACCGGAAAGAAATGCTATATCTAATTTTGTACATATGGTCCTTTTCCTTCTTTCTTTGGTATCTTTGAGGTATAGGTCTAGGAGTGGTATTGCTTGGTCAAAGGGTATGCACAGTTTAGTAGCTTTGGAGGCATAGTTCCAAATTGCTTTCCAGAATGGCCGTACCAGTTCATAGCTCCACTAATAGTGTATCAATCACTTTTCTTTTTTGTCAGTATTGATAATCTAAGAGTATTGAGGTAGAACCTCAGAATTAATTTGTATTTCTCTATTTTTATAATTCTATAGATTTCTTCATATGACATTCATTTTATTATATTTTCATAGGCAATTTTCAGAGGAAGAGATCCAAATTATTAATATAGCTTGAACCTCTTCCTGGTAGCATGGATCTCTTCCTCTGAAAATTACTAATCCCTATCCTTTGAACATTTATCAACTGAGGAGTGACTTACTCTTATACATTTGAAGTTGTTCCCTATATATCTTAAAAATTAAACCATTATCAGAGAAATATACTGCAAATTTTTTCCCCATTTACCTGCTTCTCTTCTAGTATTAGCTAGATTGAATTTCTTGTGCAAAATCTTTTTAATTTTATGTAATCAAAATTGTCCATTTTATCTTCTTTGATCCTCTGTATTTATTTGTTCTTCATGAGCTCTTTCCCTATCTTTATTTTTGATAGGTAATTTCTTCCTTACTCATATTTAACTGAATCTCCATGTTCATTTGGAGATGAAGGGTAAAGAAGCCTTTAGGAATACCTACTCTCCTGATCCTATGGATTTCACACTCTGGTAGAGCACAGCTATGAAATTTGAAGAGGCTTACCTGCTGGGGAAGTTTGGGCACATCTTCATAAAAACCATAGTATGTCATAGTATGTAGGTGGCACATTGGTGGGCCTATAGTGAGGAAGACCTGAATTTAAATCTGGCTTCAGACACCTGCTAGTTATGTGACCTTGGACAAGTTATAACCTTTGTTTGCCTCAGTTTCCTCAACTGTAAAATAGCACTTACCTCCCAGGGTTGTTGTGAGGATCAAATGAGATACTTTTTCCTTCATGATCTCCTGAAAGATACTGTCCAGGCTCTTTTTTTCATCATGATTTTCAGGTAGACCAATAATTTTTAAATTGTCTCTCCTGAATCGATTTTCCAGGTCAGTTGTTTTACCGATGAGGTAGAGTCATTAGTTTCCATTTGTCCAATTCTAGTTTTTAACAAATTGTTTTCTTCTGTTAGTTTTTGTACTTCCTTTAGTTGGCCAGTGTGTTTTTAGGGACTTGTTTTCTTCCACATAATTTTTCTAATTGACTGATCATATTTTTAAGGACTCTTCTACCTCTCTCATTTGACTTTTAAAATCCTTCTTGAGCTCTTCTAAGAAGGCTTTTTGGGCTTCAGACCAGTTCATAGTTCCTTTTGACGTTGCAGATGTGGGTTTGTTGACAGTGTTGTCCTCTTCAGAATTTCTGTCTTGATCTTTACTCTTCTCATAATATGAATCTATGGTACATTTCTTTTTACTCATGGCTTCTTTATTTCCTGGCCTTTAAAGAGATTGAGCTCTCCTGTTGGGGAACAGAGGGCACTGACCCAAGCTTCTTGTGTTGGGAGCCTAGGTCTTGGTCACTGGCTTTGCGTGCTGAGGCCTCTTATGTTGGCAATTGGAGGCTGTAGGGTTTTGACAGGTTACCTCGTGTTGGGCTGGAATCAGCAAGGCGGGAACTTTCAGGCAATTCTAGGTTGCCTGCTTTTCCTTTCCTTTAGCTTTCTTCAGCTTCTTTTAGATGGGTGGTACAGGGTGTTTATCTGCCTGGGGCCCTTTGCAGTGCTGCCTCCCTGTTTCTGCTAATGCACTGGGAGATTCCTTTGCGGTAGAGTGCTGAGGCACCTGGTGATTTTCTGAGCTGGCCTCCACCAATTCCCCCCCACACACCCTTACTGATGCACTGGGAGGTCCAGGTGTTGGTGTTTGCCTGCTCTACCACCTGGGCTCCAGTATTTCTTCACAGTTGGAGGCTGCAGGGCTCCGACAGCTCACCTGGTGTTGGGCTGGAACCAGCAAGGCCAGGGCTTTAGGAAGACTTTAGGTTGCTTTCTTCAGCTCCTTTCAGATGAATGCCACAGGGTACTTATCCACCTGGGGCCCCTTGTAGTTCTGCCTCCCTTATTTTTGCTGAGGCACTGGGAGACCTGTTTGCTGGGCTGCTGCACTGCTGCTCCCCGTCTTTCTTCTAGTTCAGCTGTTCCAGGGTTTTTTTCTGGGGTGATATTTTCTGGGTTTTCAGAGGTTGATAGGGGAGAGTGAGGGCAACTTTTTACTCCGCCATCTTGGCTCCCAGAAGCCAAATGAGATACTTTTTGTAAAGTGTTTGGCACAGTGCCTGGCACATAATAAGCATTATTATATAGATACTAGCTATTATTATTATTATTATTATTGGTTTAAGATGTCACCTTTTATGTCTAAGTCACATACGCATTTGGAACTTGGCTTGGTTTATAGTGTGAGATGTTTGTGTCTATGCCTTGTTTCTACAATTGCCACTTTTCTCAACAGTTTTTATAGAATAATGAATTCTTGCCTCCATAGCTAGGAATCTTTGGGTTTATCAAACACTAGGCTACTGTGCTAGTTTGTTTTCTGTATATTTACCTAATCCGTTCCCCTGATCAACCCCTCTATTTATTTCTTTTGTTGTTCTTTTTGTTTTTGGCAAGGCATTTGGGGTCAAGTGACTTGCACTAGTAAGTGTCAGGTCTGAGACCGTATTTGAACTCAGGTCCTCCTGATTCCAGAGCCGGTGTTCTATCCAATATACCACCTAGCTGCCCTCCCTCCCCTATTTATTTCTTAACTAGCACCTAATTGTTTTGATGATCATAGTTTTATAATATAGTTTGAGATATGGTATTACTAGGTACCCTTCCTTCCTACTTTTTTTTCATTGATTCCCTTAACTTTCTTGTTTTTTTTGTCTTCCAGATGAATTTTGTTATTATTTTTCTAGCTCAATAAAATAATCCTTTGGTAATTTGATTGGTATAGCATTGAATAGGTAAATTTCTTTAGATAGTATTGTCATTTTTATTATATTGGCTTAACCTACCCACAAACAATCAGTTTTTACTTCAAAATAACATAATTTTGGGCAGTTTTGTGAGGGGTATATTTCTAGAATCCTACTAGATTTTCAAATTAACTATGTATTTATCTTTAGGTGATTTCAAGTGTCCAGTCAAGGAAGAAGTAGCAATTACAAGTGGTGAATGGGAAGTGCTTGGCCGACACGGATCTAATGTAAGTTCTTTTGGTTTGGTCAATATCTACTGTGTCATGCTATAAAATGAATATACAAATTAAAATGATTCCCGGTCTTAGATCAGATGTTATGGAGAGCTTGAAGTGAAGGGGAAGAGAAACAGAAATTTGCCTTTTATCTGACTCATTAGAATGATTTAATAAGTGTCAACATTTCATTGTCTGTTCTTCATAGTAGTTTGAATTTTACTTTGTCATACTTGTAATTACAATGTTGCAGTGCTACTTGGATCAGGAGTTATCCAAAGGATTACTGGCTTCATAGGATCCTGAAGAGCCATCATATCATTAATGTGTAACATATACAGTTAGCTTGATGTGTGCTACTAGCATTTAGAACAGGACTGAATGTGACTGCCACAAATTGATATGGGGCTTATTAAAGGATTATGTGTACTAGCTACCGTAAATGTTGCCTTTTACTCTTCGAGGTAAATATATAGAGAGAATGAAGAACAGGAGCCAGACTAGTTTGTGTGGATAAAGAATCATAAACAGTCAAGTGGGGAATAGTCTTAAACTTTAATTCCTGGTTAAAGTCTAGTATTTTCTAGTGCCGTTACAATACACTTTTTTTTTTAAATGTTCAGGCTCTCAGCGCCCTTGCTATTAGCTGTTACTTTGTATCACTTGAGAAAGTTTTTGTACAGAGTTCTAATGCCACAGGGCAAAGAACAAGTAGTAGTGGGATATATCTGATTATTTTGTGACAAAGAAGAATAATCAGATTTTCAGTCTATCAAAGGAATTCCCAAAATTTTCTTCATGCAGATCTGAAGATTAGCCCAGGGCTGCCAATCTATGGTAATAATGCCACCTGGATAATTGGTAGTGTCATTTTGCCACTTACTGTTCTGCATTCCATTTTTCTCTCTGTTTTCTCCTTTTATACTACTTTTATTTTTCTTCTCCTTTTTTCATTCCCCCTACATATATGTGTCTTAGACCTACAAATGAATTGTAATGTCATTATATTAGCTGGTGGCCCTCAAGATCCAGCTTCTTGTTCCCATCCCAGGTTTCTAATGTCATAGAATCGTAGATCTAGAACTAAAAGGGTTCTCAGAGACCATTTAGTCTAAACCTTCATTTTACAGATGAAGAAACTGAGCCACAAGGAGATTAAATGACTTATCTAAGGTCACGTCAGGTAGTAAATATCAGAGGCAGGATCTGAACACAGTTCCTCCGACTCCAAAGCTCACTGCATCATGCTATCGTTAAGGGAAATGTTGGTTAAATCTTTGACATTTTTGAGTTAAATCACAAATAAATTTGGGCTTCTGGAAGGAAGAATAATAATTCACATTTACATAGAATTTTGCGATTTTTGTGAAACGCTTTCTTTACAACAATCATTGGAGGTATATACTGGAAGTGTTATTATTCCTACTTTACAGAGAAGAAACTAAGACTCAGAGATATTCAGTGGTGATCTTATGCTTAATAAATGACTGTATCCAGTTCATCACACTCCATGCTACATCTTTCCATTCTGTCATGCTGCTCTTTCTGCATGTGGGCAGAGAATTGACTAATCATGTTCAATTTTGGACAGTCTGATTCCCAGCTGCTTTTTGAAGACTATCTTTATAAAGAACAGTAAATCCTAACATTTTACAGGGATTAGCAAAAACCTAGGAAGTCCCTTGTGTCTGTGTCTTGCCCTAACCCACTGTCTTCCTCCATGTAGGTTTCATGTATACCCATGTTACACCCCAGTGCAGCTTATTTATTTCCTCATTCATCCAGGAAAAAGAAAAAAATTCTTTCATAGTAGAAAACACTTAAGGTTTTTTTTTTTGGTGAGACATTCAGGGTTAAGTGACTTTCCCAGGGTCACACAGCTAGTTAAATGTCAAATGTCTGAGGCCAGATTTGAACTCAGGTCCTCCTGACTCCAATGCCAGAGCTCTATCCACTGCACCATTAAGCTGCCCCTTTGCACTTAACTTTTTAAAATGAGACATTTTTTTAAATCTAATTTTAAAGATATCACTAGGCCATCTGAAAAAGTCACTTTGAGTTTTAGCAAATATTTCATAAATTATTACTTTTAGAAAATAGATCAAGTTTGTATCTACAATAGTAGAAAATGTACAAAGGGATAACTGAAAGAAAATATTTTTTTCAGGATCTTAATATAATTTAAGAATGTCTAGTTTCTGTTACTGTGAGATTCTGTATGCTTTTTGAGTAAAGGAAACCTTTCTACTGTACCTTCTTTCACTTATTTACAAGCTACACTATGGTTGTAACTATAATTCTGAATTCAGATGCTCCAAGAGAATTTGAAATAACATTTTTCATATGTGGAGGTAACAAGAGAGAGAGCATATATGGTAATTAGAAGAAGGGCCTTGTGGTCTGATGACTTGGGTTCAAGTCTTATCTATGATACTTCCTAGTTGAGTGATTTTTCAGCAAGTCATAGCTTTTCAGTGCTCCCAGTAACTCTTTAAGATAGTAAGTTGTAGATGAGGTACCACTCTGCATTGTAAAGAGTATTTCCACTAAAGTACACTCATGAAATCACAGATCTGGACCCAAAAGAGAAAAAAAGAAAGGAGGAGAAGAAAAGAAAAGGCATAATGGGAAGAATAATCCTAACTAGCTGGGAAACTGCCCAGAACCTTTGGTCATAGAAAATAAAGTGCCAATTAAAAGAATCCACATAATGCCTCCAGGAAAAGGGGAAAAAAACCCTATGATGCAAATTCCAAGATGCAGTTAACTTGAACCAGTTCCATTGACAGCAGATTCTGCAAGCTATCATTAGAAAGTCCTTTAAATATTAAGGAAAGGAAATTCACGTAACGTAGACATAGTTCCAAATTGCTCTCTAGAATGGTTGGATCAGTTCATAACTCCACCAGCAGTGCATTAAGTGTCCCAGTTTTCCCTCATCCCCTCCAACATTTATCATTTTCCTTTTTTGTTATATTGACCAATATATTGATAGGTATGAGGTGGCACCTCAGAATTGATTTAATTTGCATTTCTCTAATCAATAGTGATTTAGAGCATTTTTTCATATTACCATAGATAGTTTTGATTTCTTTATCTGAAAACTACCTGTTCGTATCCTTTGACCATTTATCAATTGGAGAATGACTTGTATTTTTATAAATTTGACTCACTTCTCTACATATTTGAGAAATGAGGCCATTATCAGAGATATTTATTGCAAAAAATTTCTCCCCAGTTTTTTGCTTTCCTTATAATTTTGGTTGCATTGGTTTTGTTTGTGTAAAACTTTAGTTTTATATAATCAAAATTATCTATTTTACATGTGGTAATGCCAAGAGATTTCTTTCCAAATGTACACAAGAAGACAAGCAGAATTCAAAGAGAAATGATAATGGATAAACAAGCCTGAAACATCAAGACCTAATAAGATCAGAGTTAAAACAAGGTCACTCGTTGTTTGCACTTTTATTTGACGTAGTGCTCAAAATGAAAAAGAAGAAAGACTTTGAATGTAATAAGCATAAGCAAAGAAGAGGTAAAATTATCTCTGTTTGTAGATAATCTGGTCTACTTGGAGAAACCCAGAGGATTCATGAAAAAAAATAGTCCATAGCTAGTAGGTTTAGTAAAGTGTTAGAATAGAAAGTAAATTCATAAAATTAGTGGATATTCTGTGTATGTTACTAAAAAAAAACTAGAGGAGACATAAGAGCATTTAAAGATGTGTTGAATATATGAGAATTAGCCTACCAAGATATATCTTACATATATATATGATAAAATAATTTTTACATAATAAAATATATAAATTTTATATATAAATAAAATAACATAGCATAATAAAATATACAAAGTAAAAGAGCACCTTAAACAAGTTGAAAGAGATTTTATATTCTTGGCTAGTCTCACATAGTGAAAATCTATAGATTTAGTATTGTACCAATCAGATCATCAAAGGAATATTTTATAGAATCAAAATAATAACAGTTAATTTGGAGTAATCAAAGGTCAAGAATATCAGGAAAGATAAATTTAAAAAAGGAAAGAGGCTGTTGTTGTCACTACCAGATCTCAAATGATACTATAAAGTAATAATTGCCAAAAGTAATTGGTACTAGATTAAAAATAGGAAAGTAGATCGGTAGAATTGACCAGCTAAGCCAGCTCTGGAAACAAACATGTGCAGCAATTAGCCCTAAAATAAAACAAGGTCCTGGGGAAGGGATTGCTTCCTCAACAAGAACTGTGAAGAAACTGAGAAGCAGTTTGGTAGATTTAGATTTACATCAACATTTTATTATACCTTGTACCACAGTGACTTCCAAACCAGTAAATGACTTCTATGTTAAAAAAGTCAAAGTTTTGTCATGGGGTTTTTTTTAGTAGAATAGAATGAAATGTTTTATCTTTTACCATTATAATTGGTGAAAGAATTTGTAACCGGAAAAGAGATTTTTAAAAAATCATCAAAGACAAAAGATGTAATCTAAATTATTTAAAATTTAAAACACACAAAAAAATAAAATCATTCCAGGAAGAATCAGAAAAAAATACATGTAATGGGAAGGAAAATCTTTGAATTAAATAACTCTGGTAAGTCTGTGGTCCAGTTTCTATATGAAATTGACACACATAATGATTGAGCTATTCCTCAATAGGGAAATAATTAGAGAAATATGTACACTTTTCAAAAGAAACGCAAACTATGACTAACTACCTAAAAATTATTCAGAATCACTAAGGAGTAGAGAAATGTAAATTAAAACAAACCAGAGGTACCACCTTAGTTTCATTCATTAGGCAAACAAAGACTAAAAGATAGAGGGTGGGGGGGGAAGGGGAAGAATTTATTTAAAGGGCAGTGAGAAGGTAAGCAAGATTCGTTGCTGGTAGAACTGTGAATTGTTTCAACCATTGTGGGGAAAAAAGTATAACTACAAAAACAGTTACCAATTTTTCATGCCCTTTGATCCAGAGTTCCCTGGTACTATGTATATCTAAAGAAACAGGAAAAAACAAGTAGTTTGTACACTAATGTTCATATGAAGCACCATTACTTGTGATAACAAAAAGCTGAAAACAAAATATGTGCTGATTGGGAAATGGCAGAACAAATTATGATATATGAGTCTAATGGAATATTACCATACAATAAATATGAAGAAGCCAGAGAAATAATGAGATTTGTGTGAAGTGATGCAGCTTGAAGAAAGCTGAGCCAAAATTCCAATGTACACAATGAGTACAACAGAAAGAAAGTCAACATAGAAAGACATAAAAATTCTGATCAGCTGTGACTGTAAGTGTTAGCTATTGTACTGCCAAAAGTTAAAAGCCACGTCTTTGTTTTCTGTTATTAATCAAAATGTTTTCTAAAAGGGTTTGTTGAAGGGGCAGCTAGGTGGCACAGTGGGTCCTGAAGTCAGGAGGATCTGAGTTCAAATCCAGCCTCAGACCAAACACTTGACACTTACTAGCTGTGTGACCTTGGGCAAGTCACTTAACCCCAGTTGCCTAAAAAAAGGGGGGTGGGGTTTGTTGGAAAGTATCTTGTGTCAGAACAGTATATATGTCATGAAATTTATTTTAAAAAATAAAATCAGACTTTTTTATACCTGCTCCAAATGTGGTGGTGGTGTATTTCTTTTAATTTTCTTAATAAAAATACATTCCCTGATCAGGCAGGAAGCTGCCAACTCTTAACACATCCTACTGTTTTATTTCCTTATTAACAGGAGTTGGTTTTCTCTTATATCACAGATTCAAACTAAACGTATTAGTAATGGTAAAAAGACAGAGTAATTCTATTTGGTAAATCCAAAGACTCAGCTTCTGGGATAAGAACTCAACTATTTAACAAAAACTGCTGGGAAAACTGGAAAATAGTATGGCAGAAACTAGGCATAGACCAACATCTTACACCCTATGCCAAGATAAAATCAAAATGGATTCATGATTTAGATTTAGATATAAAGCCAGCTACTACTAGGAGAGCAAGGAATAGTTTACCCATCAGATCTATGGAAAAGGGAAAAATTTTTGACCAAACAAGAGATAGAGAACATTATGAAATGCAAAATGGATGACTTTTATTACATTAAATTGAAAAGCTTTTGCATAGACAAAGCCAATGCAACCAAGATTAGAAAGGAAGCAGAAAGCTGGGAAACATTTTTACAACCAGTGTCTCTAAAATATATAGAGAATTGAGTCGAATTTATAAGAATACAAGTCATTCCCCAATTGATAAATAGTCAAAGGATGTGAACTGGCAGTTTTCAGAGAAAGAAATTAAAGATATCTATATTCATACTAAAAATTCTCTAAATCACTATTGATTAGAGAAATGCAAATCAAAACAGCTCTGAGGTGCCACATCACACTTGTCATATCGTCTAACATGACAAAACAGGAAAATGGTAAATATTGGAGAAGATGTGGGAAAATTGGAATGCTAATGCATTGTTGATGGAGTTGTAAACTGATCCAACCATTCTGGAGAGCAATTTGGGACTATGTCCAAATGGCTATAAAACTGTGCATACCCTTTGACCCAGCAATACAACTTATAGATCTGTATCCCAAAGAGATCATAAAAATGGGGAAAGGACTCACATGTACAAAAATATTTATGGCAGCTCTTTTTGTGGTGGCAAAGAATTAGAAATTGAGGAGATGCCCATCAATTGGAGAATGGCTGAACAAGTTGTGGTATATGAATGTAATGGAATACTATTGTGCTGTAAGAAATGATGAGCAGGCAGACCAGAAAAAACTGGAAAGACTTAAATAAACTGATGCTGAGTGAAATGAGCAGAACCAGGAGAATGTACACAGTAACAGCCACACTGTGTGATGACTGACTTTCATAGACCTAGCTCTTCTCAGCAATGCAAGGATCTAAGGTCTCATGATGGAAAACACTATCCACATCCAGAGAAAGAGCTATGGAGTCTGAATGCAGATGGAAGCGTACTATTTGCTCTCCTTTTCATTCTTCTTTCTCGTGCTTTCTCCCGTTGCTTCTAATTCTTCTTTACATCATGACTAATGTGAAAAAAAATTTTAAAACAAGCAAAAGAAGACAATAGTTTATGTTCCAAAAGGGGGAAAATGCTAAACACAAGTCAAAGAGTAACCAAATGGATGAGATTAAACTGGACTGTAAAACTTAGTTTGAGATACATTATTTGTTCACTTTATAAAATCAAAATGAACATTGGCTTGACTTTTTTGGTTTTGACAGATCCAAGTTGATGAAGTACAGAAGCTGGTGTATTTTGAAGGCACCAAAGACTCCCCTTTAGAGCATCACTTGTATGTGGTGAGCTATGATAATCCTGGAGAGGTGACAAGATTGACAGATCGTGGCTACTCACATTCCTGCTGTATTAGCCAGGTATTAACTCCTGTCTGAATGGTTCATAAAGACCCTGTCCATATTTGGAAGTAAGTAAAATTGGATTGTGTAGCAATTTAACTCTTAGGCACATTAAACTTAACATTAACTTCTCTCTGAAGGTATATATTATAGGATCTTAAAAAGTTAAACCATTATTGTGTCCCCTGCCATAGCATAGTGTAGGTCAAACAGAATTTGTCTAATTCATATTTTAAAATCTCTTTTTATGATACCATGGGATAAAAAAAAAACACAAGAAAATGATTGTCTCTTTTCCCTTTTTTCAGCATTGTGATTTATTTATAAGTAAATACAGTAACCAGAAGAATCCACACTGTGTGTCCCTTTACAAGCTCTCAGGTCCTCAAGATGACCCAGAACGCAGAACGAAGGAATTTTGGGCCACTATTTTGGATTCAGCAGGTACTCGATTTGTTTAAATTTGACATTGAACAAGAATAGTGAATTGACTTACTATACCTGTATTATGTGACTATACCCTGTTGGGCTGATTTTTTTTTTGTCACTGTCACCACTCAGTTTTTTCTCTGAGCTGCTAGGCTTTTAATTAGTTCCACCTTCCCCAGAGAATCTGTTAAATGAGATTAGATGGCCACCACCTACATTTAGCAGAAGTGGATCTGAGAAGCCTTTTTGAAAATAACATTAGAAAAGTTATGATAGATTCGAGGAAGCTCCCTGTGCTTATAAATAGGTGTATCATTTCCTAGATGAGCAAAAGGAGAGGAAAATGTGTGCTGACCTAAACACTGCCTTTTCTTCCAATAAGGCTTTCTGGACAGGGAGGTTGCTTCTTTGGGGAAAAGATGTAGCAAGTGATTACTTTCAATGCATGCAGAACTTCTTTGTGACTGCTGGGTCATAATGCCTGAAGACTCTGTATCCATGTAAATGATTCAATGTCCTAAGAACAAAATATAATCTTATTTTAACACCCTTTGAACATGCACTGTTCTAAAATTCTTTTTCTGTTATTTTTACGTGTGTGTGTGTGTGTGTGTGTGTGTGTGTGTGTGTGTGTAGAAATTTTGGTGCAACTCCAAGTTACTAGTGTACTTAATCCACATAGAAGAATTCATAGCAATACAATTTAATTTCTACTTAGATTATAATGCAAAGAAACTTATTTTTGCCTCTTTAGGTGGAGATGAAGGCTAGATGTATATAGCCTTAGTGAACCAAATACAATTTTGAAATATTCCATTTGGTCATTCAGTGGTGGAAATAGCAAAAGTAGTGCTGGCTTGACCATCAAAGTAAGCTACACTGAACTTGATACAGTGTATTGTTCACTTCTGGTCCAATTCACAGTTGCTTTGTGTGTAGATACTTGACTTTAAATGCCTTTCTTCTGTGCTTCCAGAATCATACAAAATATATTTCCCCTCCTGATGTGGGTCTTTTGATATGTTCATTAGAATCTTTCTAAGATGAATGCTCTTGCTTCATTTTCAGCCTACCAGTTAAAGAGAGTGGGCAGTTATTTGTGTGAGTGTGTGTGTGTGTGTGTGTGTGTGTGTGTGTGTGTGTGTTTACGTGTGAACAGGTTTCTTCTTGTCCCGAAGGAAGATAAGATTTCAGTGTCCTGTATAAATACCCTTTGAAGTTAAGGTTGTGTTTTATTTGTCCACAGGTCCTCTTCCTGACTACACACCACCAGAAATATTCTCATTTGAAAGTACTACAGGATTCACGTTGTATGGAATGATGTATAAACCTCATGATCTACAGCCTGGGAAGAAATATCCCACTGTGCTGTTCATCTATGGTGGTCCTCAGGTAGGGATGTCACTTTCAGTAGTCAAGTTGAGTAAGCTAGGATTTTGTCTGTATGTCTAGTGTCTTGAATCCTCTTAGATTTGAATGCGTTAATATGTGCTTAATAAATATGATGGATAAGTGAGTTGAAGTTTAAGAGATGTGATTTTGTCAATTTATTCATTATTAACTAGGCCTTAGATGTGTGCATGTAACCAGAATTGCAGAAAATTGATTTATAAACGAATGTATCAGTGTATTAATTTACCATGAAAACTATGACTACCAAATGGACTAGAGTATTTGTGTCAGTCAGCAAGCATGATCTCATCTCAATAGGGAAATTTGTTTATAAAATTGATCAAAATTAGAAGATTTTTTTATATAATATAGGGTTAGAGCAAAGGAATTTGGATGTTGTTAAAAGATATTTTCAGCAAGTTCAGTAGCCCCATGAAATTATCCTCCCACTCTAAGGAAATACCTGCCAAATAGCTTGGAATATTTAGATGAGCCAGTTAAAAAGTACACACTTTCTCTCAGTTCTAGATGAACAACAACCAATTCTCAGTCTTAAATTCTTTGTCTCGATTCTCTGTTGTTGTTTGAAGATTATGTTAACACCACCCACATTCCACAGCATTAAAGTAAGAGTGAAAGCAAGTATCAGTGTGTAGCAGTAATATCTGGCTTGTAGGTATTAGATTTGTTTTAAATGTTTGTTCTCTCTTGTGCATACTCTATTTTTTCCAGCTCCTTTCCTTCAGTAAAAATAATATTTGCCACAAAAATTTTCATAGGGACAGAGGAGAAGAACGTAGTTATTGTATCTACGCTTAAGTATAGATTTGTGATCTCATCATGAGAGTTTTCCCCTCCACTGGTACAAATCATAGCCTAATAGTGCCTTTTCATTCTGCCCTTGCCTATGTCCTTCCAGAAATCCTCTATAGAGAATCTGTCATTGTGCTAGAGGCTGTCAGCCAGGTTTTCTAATATTTCACGAATATCTATGCAGTATTTATACTGTTCACCCTTTTAATTTCTCACTTTTGTGTGTAATAAAACCAACTCTGCTAATTCTTTTGTTTTGCCCTTCTGATGAGAACCTATAAGTTATCTTCCCATTTAGCTACCATTTCTTCTTTTTTTTTTGGCTTTGTTTATAGTGGGAATGGGAGATAGATATGGTTCATTTCCTCCTATGGTATATCACCTTGTTGATCATTGGATACTTATTTCATATTAAGAGTAATAGCAGCTAAATATTTATAGATGGTCTAAAGCCTGTGCAGTTTTTAGCACTTTATCCCCCCACCCCAAATCCTATTTTTTATAATCCCTCAGTTGTCTTCACTGTGGAAGTGGAATGGGATTGCATAGGTTTAAGTGATATTTTACATTTTTAATTTATATTGTATATTTATTATATTATATCATCTTTTTCTGTATTATCTATTTCATAATTTATATTATATTTCATGAGTCACCAGGGTCAAAAAAATTATCTTTTAGTGGCCAACCTGCTGGTGATGAGCTTGTCCTTCCTTAGCAAGGTTGGTCTTTAGGCAGCAGGCACAATCTGTTGCTGGCAGTATACTCAGAACTTTCCTAACCTGGTTGAGTTTGCCTCTAATCTGTGATGAGGCATCAAAGTAAGCCTTTCATGGAGGTATCATATCCAAATTTGGCAGGGGTAGGGGGAGGAGATTGACTGTATTATTTCAGGGTTTTACAACACTATCCTTTTTTCATTTGAGGAAAAAATTATATTTTCTTTTTTCCAATATATTTTATTTTAAACTTAAATGCAAAATAAGAGAAGAGAAACAAATGTAATACTAAAATAAAATAATACAATAAGAAAAGAAAAAAAAGCAATGCCATGTGCACAGTAGAACATAAGAGAGGATCCAAAATATACAGCAATAAATTTCCATTTCAAGAAAGCCTATATAATAAGTACCACCCATTGTGTTGAGAGCTGTCCATCTTTTCTTTGCTTCTTTGTAAGTTTTCTTTTGTTCTCTGCTGTGAACTTTTTACTTTGTTCTTTTTTCCCCCCTCTCCCCTCCCTGGGCTACAATTAAATGTGGACATACACACGCACACACACATGCACATGCACACGCAAGTACATACATACACATATAGACATATACACGCAAACATATACATATATACATACATATACCCATACATACATACACTTACATATACATATACTTAGATATCTATAATTATACTCGTATGTAGACATACATTCATATACACCTATGTAAGATCAGACTATGTTCATTTGTCTTCTGTTTTTCTTAGGGTGGATAACCTCTTCCTTCTTAAGTCCAAGTCTTTCCATGTTTTTCCAAGTCCACCAACTCATCATTTCCTACAACACAGCAATATTCCAACCTTATACTGTTTAGTTGTTTTAAATAGGCCTAAACAGCATTGATGAATGTTGATGAACACTACACATAGTGTATTTTCCCTATTTTTCTCTTTTAATTAAATGTATTTTAGCCTTAACTTTGTCTGAGATCATGATTACCATCCCTGCTCCTTTTTCTCTAATGAATTCTACTGATCTTTATTTTGTTTGTGCATATCTCTTATTTCCTAACCATCCTGACTCCTCTACTTTACTTCTACCCACTATCTTGCCCTCCTATTATTTAATCTACCCCCCTCCAAGGATCCCTCTCTTATCCTCTCATTTCCATTAATCTAAACATCCTTCTATACCCACCCCCCTTTAATCAATTCCTTCACCCTCTCCTCCAAAGATCCCTCCCCTGTCCTTTCCCCCTTCGCTATCCTCATAGTGTTTTATTTCTTTCTGAATTTAGAAGACATTTATGCTCTTCTAGATATATATGTATTATTCCCTCTTGAAGACATTCCTGATGAAAGTAGGTTTACAGAACTACCAGCCCTCCTCCCCCATCTAATTCCTCTGTGTTGGTTCTTCCTCTTATACCTCATTTGTATAAGATAATTACTGTTTTTAGCTGTTACTAAATGGTTTTACTTTTTAAAATCATATCATACTCAGGTCTACCCCAATCTTTTTTTTACAAACTACCCAATTACTAGTAACAATCAGACACATATTTGATATTTCCTCATAAAAAATGGGACCAGTCTGTCCTTATTGAGTCCCTTATAATTAGTCTTTGGTGTGTACCTTATATTTCTCTTGGCTCTTGTATGTCAAAGTTCAGGGTTTTATTCTTTACTTTTAACAAAATCCTCCTGACAATTCAGTAAATGTCCATTTTTTTCATTCAGGATTATGCTTACCTTTCTAGGTATGATATTCTTGGCCAGAACCCCAGTTCTTTTGCTCTTTGATCTATAGTGTTCCAAGACCTGTGGTCTTTTTGTGTTGCTGCTGCTAGGTCTTGTGCGATTTTTGATTGCGGCACCACCATATTTAAATTGTTTTTTTCTTGTTGCTTGTAATATTTTATCTTTGAGCTGAGGGTTTTGAAATTTAACTATGATATTCCTGTGGGTTTTCCTCATAGGATCTCTTCTGGGTGGTGATTGGAGGATTTTTTTCTATTTCTCCTTTCCCCTCTTGTTCTAATGCTTCAGAACAATTTTCTCTAATTATTTTTATTTAATTATTTCTTCTAATTATTATTATATCAAGATTTTTTTTCTTATCATAGCTTTTAGGTAGTATGATTATTCTTAGGTTTTTTCTTCTTGAGCTATTCTTCAGATCGGTTGTTTTTCTTATGAGATGTTTCACATTCTTTTCTATTTTTTCATTCTTTATATTTTGTTTTATTATTTCTTGGTCTCTTATGACTTTGCTGGCTTCCCTTTGCCCAATTCTGATTTTCAAGGAGTCATTTTCTTCCTTAAGATTCTAGATCTGCTTTTCTAATTGGTTGACTTTCTTTTCATAATCTTCTTGTTTTTCTTGGATTCTTCTTCTTCTCCTTCTTTTAGTTGTTCCTCAATCTCTCTCATTTGGTTTTTAAAGTCTTTTAAGTTCTTCTATGAATTCTTTTTGGGCAGGTGACCATTTGATGTTACTCTTTAGGGTAGAAAAGGATTTCTTTGCTTCAGTATCCTCTGAAGACAAATCTCAGTCTTCTCTATTCCCATAGTAACTTTCTGTGGTTGAATTCTCTCTCCTTTGCTTGCTCATTTTTTTTTATTTGTAGCAGCTTGTTTTTTGTAATCACCTCTACCCCTGGGATGTGAGGGATGGTGTCTCTGGCTTCAGATCCTTCAGTTCTCCTCTCTGGTGTGGAACCGAAACCAAGACCTCCGGCCTCCAATAAGTGCTCACAGCCAGCAATTTCTCACCCCACTGCTTCTGCACTCACCAGGCATGTGCTGGTTCCTTCTCCCCCAGAGCCGTATCTCAGCAGCATTCCTTGCAGTCTGGCATTCCTTGTCAGCAAAGGTTCCTTCAATCTTCCCTGGCACAGATGTCCAACTACCCTCACTGACTTGGGAGTAAAAGTTCCTGTGGCTGGGGTTGAGGCTGCCTCCTAGCCCAGCTAGTCCCAGGGTTTGCCTCTTGTTTAAGTGGAACTAGCCTGGAGGTGTTTATTCTTCGTAGGGACCAAACTATATCCTGGGATTTTTCTTCAGATCTTCTCCAATTGTCCCTGGAGGAAAACTGTTCTCTACCCCTACTCTTATTTGTTTTTACCACTCTTTGTTCACTTTGAGGCTCTATTTTATTTTGTTTGTGGGGGAAATCTGGAGAGCTTGGGATTTTTCTGATGTACTCTGCCATCTTCCTAGAATCCTCTTTGAAAAATTAGGTTTTCTTTACTCATTTATTTGTACATTTTGTAATGTCCATTTGATAGTTAATCCATATTTCTTCACAAATTTTTATATCTTACTAAATTATCTATCCCTTTCATAATTTTTTAACTTTTCACTTGTTTATCTTGTCTCCCCAAGCCAGTAAATGAGCTCCTCAAGGGCAAAGACTATTTTTAATGTTTCTTTGTATCACCTCTAATACCACCTGTTTTATATGCAGGAGGCTTTCAATAAATGTTTATTATTGATTATTTCTAGTGCCACTTCTTAATTACTTCCTGGCTCCTCTATGAGGTTATATTTATTTCAGTCACTTTCCTTCTGGTTGATATTTACCAGAACTTTGTTTCTAATGAATTCTCTAATGCCCTTCTTCATTCTTTGAGCCTCCTGAACTTTTTGTCCATACAATATAGCATTCATATCACTACATGCTACTCCTGTTCTAGGGAAGTACTAACACACATTTTACTCTCATAGACTTTTGTCACTTTGAAGTGTGAAACAGAGAAGCAGTTAAATTATTTTCCTTTCCTGAAATTGAATGAATAAAAAAGGCATTTATTAAGTGCTTACTATGTTCCAAGAACAATGTAAATGCTGCCTTTAAGGAGCTTATGTTTTAAGAGGGAAAGATAACACCTATAAATTAGGAGGGTGGTGGCCAGGGAGAGGGGTGTTTTGGACAGAGAAGTCAGAGAGAATGGTGATTGTTGCCATAGAGCAAATGATTGACACGCCCTTTACAGCAATGGTAGTATTGATATTATTACTGTTCTCAGAACTAGAGTTTGAGGTGTTGGGGGGGAAAGGCTATGTATATAGCAGCATGGCATGAAGAAAGTCAGAAAGTGGTGTGGTAGACCTAAATCCAAAATATGATAATGTGAATATTCCCAATCCAGAGCCAAAAGATGGGAGTTTAAATTCCAGTAGAAAGTGGAAGCTATAGCTACAGACAACATGGCATAGAGAGAGCCAGGAAACTGACATGGTCACATATCAATTCACAATTGCTCTTAAATATGTGAAATAATTCTCACTGCTATTGGAAAACTTTAAGGCAAAAAATAGAAACCTTAACTATCAGCATTCATTTTAATGATATTTAATTTTTTCCCCAAGTACTATGTAATCTTTAAAAAAAAGTTTGTTTCATTAATGCCTTTTGTTTTACATCATAACCATTTCCAGTTATAAAACCCTCCCCCAAGAATACTCTTTTATAACCACAAAGACAATTAAGTATATTTAACCAATGTAGTAACTGTATCTGATGGAATATACCACTACCACCATTCTCCTTTAAGGAGGGAAATACATTTTATCATCGCTTCTCAAGGAGGAATACTTGGTATTACAGTTACTCAGAGTTTGATATCTTTTGTGGGGGGTTCTTTTTGGTTTACATTGTTGTAGCTATTGTGTATATCATTCTTGTTTCTTCTTCACTCTATATCAGATCATACAAATTTTCCCGTGTTTCTGTGAATGTGTCATATTGGTTGTTTCTAATGGCGCAATAATATAGCATTACATTCATGTGCAATGTTGTAATGATGTAAAGGGCAGCTAGGTGGTACAGCAGATAGAGTGTTGGGCCTGAAGTCAGGAAGACCTTAGTTCAAATCTGACCTCAGACACTAGTTATATGATCCTAGGCAAGTTACTTAACCCTGTTTGCCTCAATTTCCGCATCTGTAAAATTAGGAAATTCCTAGAATAGGAGATGGCAAACCACTCCAATATCTTTGCCAGGAAAACCACGAATAGGGTCACAAAGAATTGGACACGACTGAAAATGACTAAACACCACCACATTGCTATACTACAATTTGATCAGCCATTCCCCAATTGGTGTCAGCTACTTTGTTCCCTTATTTTGCTACCACACAAAGTGTTTCTCTGAATATTTTGATATATATGCATATAGAGCCTTTCTCTTTGGGATATATGCTTAGGAGTGGAGTTACAGGGCCGAAAGGTATGGACAGTTTAGTGACTTTTACTGCATATTCCAAGTTGTTTTCCAGAATAGTTGGACCACTTCATAGCTCCATTAATAAATGTATATTATTGTGCCTGTCTTCTCACATCCACTCCACCACTGATTATTTCTATCTTTAATCATCTCTGCTGACTTGATGGGTGTGAGGTGAAACCTCAGAGTTGTTTCAATTTATAATTCTATTATTAATGATTTGGAAAATTTTTTTGTATGGTTTTGGTAGTTTGCAGTTTTTCCTTTGACAGCTCTTTGTTCATATCCTTTAACTACCTACCTATTGGAGAATGATCCTTGGTCATATATTTATGCTAATTCCTTATATGTCTGGGATATGAGACTTTTATCAGAGATATTTGACTTATAGATTTTTTTCCCCCACCTAACAGTTTCTCTCCTTGTTTTTAATTTACTTTAAAAAATTACTCAATCAGGGGCAGCTAGGTGGCGCAGTGGAGAGAGCACCGGCCCTGAAGTCAGGAGGACCTGAGTTCAAATCCAGTCTCAGACCAAACACTTGACACTTACTAGCTGTGTGACCCTGGGCAAGTCACTTAACCCCAATTGTCTAAAAAAAAAAGTACTTAATCACATGGCAAAATAGTATCAACAGCAATTTAAGCAATTTAATTATTTGAGTAGTCATACTTGCTTCATTCTTTTGCATATATAAATTATTTTATAGAATTTGACTGATGTTATATTTCTTTCTCAGGTGCAGCTGGTGAATAATCGGTTTAAAGGAGTCAAATATTTCCGCTTGAATACGTTGGCATCTCTGGGTTATGTAGTTGTGGTAATAGACAACAGGGGATCTTGTCATCGAGGGCTTAAATTTGAAGGTGCCTTCAAATATAAAATGGTGTGTGTGCAAGAAAATATTTGCCTATTAAACATCTTGATGCATTGTGTGGCATTGGTCGGTGTAAAACCCTGAGAGTAAAAGAGAGAGAGAGTAGGAAGCTGGTGATTAATAATATTAAACATATTAATTCATTTCTTCTTGTTTGAAACCTTAGAGATATAAGACAGAGCTACTTAACCTAATTTGTAGAAGTATCCCTGACTTCTGATTTTCAGAGTTTGAGACTGAAAGTAACATTGCCAGTTTGCAGCTTCCTATATAATGCCAAGAAGAATGTTTGAGCTTTGTTCTGTCCACTGCAAAGAGGGAGGGAGACCAGCTGATCAATGTCTCCTTGTGATAAGCTTTTTTCTCTCTACAGGAAGCTTAAAATGCTACCTTTTAGAGATGCTCCCATGTTATACCTGCTGCATTTGGGAAACAAGAAACTGATGTTCCTTTTGCACAGTAAGACAGTTACAATATTTGCCAGTGTATTCAACATGCTGAGTAGGACATGGTGACTTTTTCTTAAGGCCACTTCTTTGACCTTATGTTGTACTCTCATGTAATACTTTTTTCTAGCTTAGAAAAATAAATTTTATGTCCTGGCATACCATATCTCTCTGCAAGCATTATGTTTAATGAGAGGGATAGAGATTAGGGAAACAGGAAGGTAGTGCCTCAATTATGACTCCCTTTTCTTACTTTTCAAAATAATAGAGGTATTAGCCTAGAGAAGAAGTCTAAAGGGTGACTTATTTCCTATCTTTGAGTATATGGAGGCTTGTCACAAGGAAGACTTTGACCAACAGATCTCCCTCTTCACAGAGGAAGAAGAAAAGAAAATCAGATAGCTGTGACAAGGAAAGTACTTTACAAGTATACAAAAAAAGTACTGTACGATTATGGGGATAATTAAATACTAGCAGAGTCTTCTTAAAGGAAGTTATAAAATTGCCACGTATAAGGAAGTTTTTCAAATTGATACCATTGCCTCCCATTTAGCTGATCACAGAATTTAAGAACTAGAATAGACCACAGAAGTCATGTAGTCTGATGCCCTCATTTTATAGTTGACGAGATTAATAATGATACTATGATTCTAAAAAAAAAGGGACAGATTCCATTTTTAAAACAAATAGATTTTAATAAGCAGTGCTGTAACACTTCTAATTAAGCACTAACAATGAAATGTACTCCTTTTCTTTCAGGGTCAAATAGAAATTGAAGACCAGGTAGAAGGACTTCAGTACCTAGCATCTCAGTATGACTTCATTGATTTAGATCGTGTGGGCATCCATGGCTGGTCCTATGGAGGATACCTCTCTTTGATGGCATTAATGCAGAGGTCAGATATCTTCAGGGTATGTGAATTCTTATAGACTTGTTTTTGAGACACAAATCAAAATATCTTTATGGCTTAGGGATAGAACATAGGGCAGAATTCTTCTAAATGAAGAATGGCATTTAATTTTTTTCCCTAGGTACTATGTAATCTTAAAAGAAGAAGTTTGTGTTTCATTAATGCCTTTTGTTTTTCATCATAGCCATTTCCAGCTATAACACACTTCCCCAAGAATACTCTCTTATAACCACAGAGACAAGTATATCTAACCAATGTAGTGACTGTATCTGATGGAATATATCACATAATTAAATGCCTTTTTTTTGTTTTAGAGACTCAGAAAAGCTATAAAATATCAGAGGTTTATATATGTTAACTTTCCATAAGGTATATAGCCATGCGATTTGTCAACTTTTGGCAACCAATTATTATTAGAAAATTTTGACCACAAAGGCTTAAAAAAAATTAATGACAACAAGTTTTTAAAATAGCATGACCTATAGAAATCAGATATCATGCATAATGATGTAGTTAATAACAGCAGAATATTTTTATTCAGCCATCAATATAAATTCAAATGACTAGCATGATTTTCACTGGCTACTGCCTATGGACAGGGTCAATAAGATATTTAAGTATAAAAGTTTATGTGGCATCCATAAAATTAAATGATTTAATATTTAAATATAGCTTTTTGTTGTTTTAAGCCAGCAGAGCTACAAGGGACTTTAAAAAAAAATCATAGCAAGAGCCATGGAACTGAAAGCAATCTACCAAGATTACACAACTGTCAAGTGGTAAAGTGAGGATTTGAACTCATGTTCTCTGATTCCAAATTTTCCTTTACTCGATAATGCTGCATTCCATACACAAAGCTTATGTATGCAAGATACTTTCAGCATATGCACTCTTAATTTTTCCAGTAGTAGAGATAGATTTGCAATAAACCATCCACAGTTTCTTTTTCAGTCACTCTTTTGACTAAAGAATATGCATTTGTAAAATGATTGATCCAAGAGAAGAATGTATTGTGTGCCTGAAAAACATTGAAACTAACTGGTCACCCATGACTGGAAATAACATTTACAACATGACTATCCAAGCTAACGAGACCTAAGATCCATTATGTACAACAGGAGAATAATTTTAGCCTATACGTTTGCAGTTGCAAGTATTCACTGTTAATCCTTTCCTGGCCTACATTTAATTGTGATTGTTGGTTTGTATAGGTTGCCATTGCTGGAGCTCCAGTTACTCTGTGGATTTTCTATGATACGGGATATACAGAACGTTATATGGGTCACCCTGACCAGAACGAACAGGGCTATTACCTAGGATCTGTGGCCATGCAAGCAGAGAAGTTCCCTTCTGAGTAAGTATAGTCTTTTAATCAATAAGCAAAATTTAGAAATTAAATTTTTATTTTAGGGCCAGTTTTTAATAATTTGATGGAAATCCCCCCTTGGGCAGGGGGGAGGGAGGGAAGAAAAAAAAATTAACTAAAAGTGCCCAGCAGAGAACAAAAGAAAAACTAGAAGAAAGTACAGAAAAGCTGGGTAGCTTTGAAAAAAATGTATAGTATTTATTACATAGGTTTTTTTGAAATGGAAATTTATTGTTTTATATTGAATCCTCTCTTATGTTATGCTGTGTACATGGAAATGTTTTTTTCTTGTTTTGTATTTAAGTTTAAAATGAATAAAAAATTATTTTAAAAAGGAAATACCAGTCTTAAATGGTCAGCGTTAGCAAAGTGATTTTATAGGTCCTAAGATAGTAGTTTTTACTTACTTGAATAATCATTTGCATAATTATAATCCTGTTTGTGTAATTTCTTTTCTTCTACCTATGATTAAAGAAATTAAAGACAAAATTCTACTAAAATGAAACAAAAAAGATGTTAAAAGGTTTTTATACAATATTGTATAAGTGCCCTGTTCCTAGAAAAGGGTATGACTGATAATCTGTCTGGTTTCACAGCCAGTTTCTCTAAAGGAAATTGTACAGACCCACCCTCTTTTTCATTCTTGATTTTTTTCCCCCTAAGACAAGGAAGCAAGTTAACATAATGTGATTTTGAAGTTAAATTGTTAGAATTTGATCATGATGCATGAGGAAGTTGACAGTAATTAAACAGAGCTATATATTAAATTATGTGGCTCTCTTAAGTATTCCAGCATATCACTCTATGTTTTATCTTTTCCAGACCCAATCGTTTACTGCTATTGCATGGGTTCTTGGATGAAAATGTTCACTTTGCACATACCAGTATATTACTGAGTTTTTTAGTAAGGGCTGGGAAGCCATATGATTTACAGGTAAGTTCCCGTGCACCATCTAAATTAAGATATAACAATATCATATGATTGTCAGTTTTCCTGGTTAAGAATTCTGTGCTACACTTTGGCCTTATGAGCTCAAGATTTTTAAATAAGACATGATGTGAAAAGTAAATGATGTTTCCTTGCATTATAATAAGAGTAAAAGGTTATGTTTTTAGCTCTGGCCTCCTACTACTTACAAGAACCAAAAAGATAGACATGGTTAAATGCTTTTAATTTAACAAAAATTGAAACTTGGTTAAGGTTGTGCTGAGAAACTTGACTATCTAGTTCCACAGCTCAGTGTTTTTATACTCAGTTTCATTCCTTGTAAACACAGAAATGGCAGTAGGAAGTCAATTTACTGTTCTTTTCCTTTTTTTCTCTTAGTTGGTTGAGGAAATGATACTTGATTTCATGGTTGAAAAGGCAATCTTTTGATATCATAATCTTTTAGTTCTTTCTTCACTACTTCACCATTAACATTGATTTGTATAGTCCAGGAGTCAGAAGGTTATCTCTTCTCAAATAAACAAGTTTTCATTATTTAAAACCCACTTCTGGGCAGTGAGAGAAATAAGTTTCCTTCTTATATATCCTTATTCCAGCACTTACACATATTCACATGTGCCCTGAGCATATCTGCTTTTTTATTCCATTTGTTGAATTGTCATGGGCGTTTGTGTTTAAGGAAATACTCTGAATTATCTGATTGCAGATAAGTAGGTGAATTTTCTCTTAACTTAATGATAAAGGAAGTTGGAAGAAGAGGGGATGTGTCAGAAAACTGGATGAGATGAAAAGCCTTTTTTATGGACCTCTAATGACTATGTGTATATGTGTGCATGTAAGGCTACTCTTCTTTCATATTGTTAATCTTGTTAGACATCTGTTAGGGAGATTAAAAGAGATTTATAGTTATTAACTGCTTGTCCTTTGTATTTTGTGATATTAATTTTTATTTTTAGATCTATCCTCAGGAGAGACACAGCATAAGAGTCCCTGAATCTGGAGAACATTATGAACTGCATCTTTTGCACTATCTTCAAGAAAATCTTGGTTCACGAATTGCTGCTCTGAAAGTGATATAATTGTAACTTTTGTGGAACTCTGGTACATGGCTGCTTAACCAAATGAGGAGGTTTAATCTGTAGAAAATAACTGATCATCACATTTTGGTGCCTGCTACATAACATCCACTTCTGAAAGTAAATTTGGTGCCATACAAGAATCTACAGTACATGAATAGCAACCTCATACCTTAACTCACACAAAGAATCGAACGATGTAAATTTCCATGGGACACAGCAATACCATGAAAATTACTGAGAGAAGCTAAAACATTTGCAGCACATATCAACACCATCATATTTCCACCTTTTAAAAGCATTGTAAGCCTCATGGATTTAATTGGTGTATTTTTATATTTGAGTTTGTTACATTATGGTAATTAATATTAGGTGATTGGTTCACTACAATTCCTGAATCTCTGGCTAATGACAAATTTGATAGCACTTAAGTGTAATTGAATAGCTTATGCTTCATTGCTTGGGGTGTGTCCAGCATGTTAAGAACTAATCACTATTAAACCTATGACTTAACCAATTGTTAATGATTTTAAGGAATAATTCCTAGTGGCCTCCTAAAGACACTCATTTTGGTTTATTCAAGTTCTTCCCAGTTTTTCAGTGAGTTTCAGCTGTGTCTAGTAAAAAAAAATACTAATTTTTCTTTGATGATGTGACAAGATGGATTTTACCTGATTTACTTTTACATAAAGGAGAGTAACTGTATTTGTAGCATGGTTTTAACTAATCTTATGATATTAATAATTATATGCAGATTAATTTTAAATTGAATGACAATAACTTAAATATTTGCAGGCTATTTTTTCCTTTAGGAAAAGAAAAGTATATATTCACTTTTGTTCTTCAGAAAATATGTTGGTACCCAATTTTCCATAGACCATTTCCTTATATTGAAATGTTCTAGATTTGGCAGAGACAAGGGGAGGTGGGGGGAAGATGGAAGGGAAACATAGGGAGGTCAGAGTGGGGCTATGGATCTTTTTAAGTCCAAAGTGTTAGTGCCACTTGGCTGAGAAAAGTCATGAAAAAAAATTGAGAAATGAGATTTTAACTTGTAGAATATTAACTAGGAAAACAGAAGTAAAATAATCATCCCCAAGCCAGTGTAATCCTAAACTGACTGTATCTAGGAGAATTCTTTTTAAATTTTTTGGAAGCAAATATTTACATTCCCTCCTTTTTAAGTGGTTCAGTGAGCACAAAGAGCTTTTTGAAAATGGCAACTTTAAAGTAGAAATTTAAATTTCCAACAGATTTATTTACCATAAGTTGACCCCCTTAGTGATGCATTATTCTCTTCATTGTTCAAAATCTGTATATAATTTCCTATTTTAAGTTTCCCTAAAATAAACTCTCATAGTGAAATTATTCTGGTTTACCCCTAACATTTGAATGTTCAAGGGTTTTCATATGCTTTCAGGTACTGATTGGGTTCCCACTGGAGTGTTGGGTAGAAGGGCAGAATTTTCTTGATACTAGCTGGGTAAGAGCTTAGCAGGAAGGAAAACTTAACTTTAAAAACCTACCCAGCCCTGCTAATCATAGGCATTGATGTTTTCTTTGGAAGAAGTTGCTGTACTTATGAACAAGAGTCCCCAGAGAGAATATGGGAGCTTCTTTTGCTTATCACATACTGACTGTAGATTTTTGTCTACCGAGCATATGCTTATCACAAACAAAGCCTTTTTCTTTGTGGCCGATTTTCACCTTATGACAAGAGGGGGTAGGAAATGAGTGAAGCCAGAAGTGATAATGTACCAGTGTTGGTTATTCATTTGGGAAAATTCTTTCCATATTTTGACTGTAGTGTATATACACACCTGTCTCTCTCTGTGTGTATATTTATCATATATACATATATCACATATATGTGTATATATATGTACAACTTACATGTTTAATATCCTCCCCCACCTAGATTTGTTTATATTCTTTTGATTTGGGTAACTTCACACCCCTCAAAACCCAAGAAAATATTTCCCCCTGTGACTTGAGTTTTACTTGATGAGGGAGATGCATGGTTCTGTACCAGTAGTTTCCAAGGATCTGTGATCATTGCACATAGTGTACAGAGCAGAATGGGTATCCAGTAGTACCACAAGCCAGTGGACAAGTATTCATTTTAAATCTCTTACTTTGTAAGGCTGTCTCTTTACAATGGCACCTCTTGCTTTGCCAAAAGAAAAAAAAGCAAAATACTCAAATGCTGCTGCATACTGTTCTAGTGAAACACATGGTTCCTTTTTAGTTCTTCCCTTTTCCCTATCCCAATAAATAAAGAAATTGGAAGTTCTCATTACAGCTTCTAAGCACTGTTTCCCTTCTTTACCAGTGAAGAAATGCTGTCATTTGGCAGCCATACTATGAACATGACTGATTTTTTTTTTCAGAAAGGATACTTGATTGGATTTGCTGTTGCTAAAGGAAGTGGAGACTCGTGCTTACAAAGTTAGCAAGCAATGGAAAGCTCTACCAAGATTCACTGGTAACATTAACTATGAGGAAAGCAACTCATCAAGTGGAAGTTTAAAACAAGGAGCACATTTGGTGAGAGCCAAAAAGCACTGAGGTTAAAAAGCGACCTGGGTTATTCATTGTCTTGATAAATTCCCATGGCCATTACTGAGTATAGTTATTTGAAATAACTCTGAAGACTCTAATGGGTGAAATTTATACTATGCTGACTTAGAAGAGATAGGGATGTGTAAGCAGGAAATCCTCTCCCCACAGTTAAGTATTGACCACCTTTTCTCACTACAAGAGATATGTATGAAGAACAGCTAGCAGACAGCTTCCTCCTCTCTTCCAAGGCCTCAGTTTGAAATTTTTTCCCACAGGCAACAAAAGGGAGTGAATCCTGGTCCTACCACCACCATACCAGCTTCCTGACCTTTTTAAGAACTATATTTAATTGTTGCATGTTGCCAGTGTTGAGATTTTTCTTTTTGTTTTAGATTTTGTTCCATTTTCTACTTCTCTTTATATAATATCTTTTTTCATGTTTTGGAATTATTCTCCTAATAAAACTCTTAAGTTCCAAGAAATATGTAGAAAAGGCAAACTTTAAATACACAACGTACATATGTAATATATAATATATATATATACAGTCTTATTTCACCTATTTGAGCACTTTTTTCTTTAATAAAAAAGTACCTAAATGTGGAGAAGGAAATGGCAAACCACTCCAATATCTTTGCCAAGAAAATCCCAAATGGGGTCACGAAGAGTCTGACTGAAAAACAACTGAACAAAAATGTTTTTTCCCTACTCCAAATTATATGCTAAGGATGCTTATTAATGAAGTTGTACTAATCAGCATGTGAAGTTGTTAAATATTATTAAAGTCATTCTGCCAATTAAAATGTGTTTTACCTGGTAATAGGAACATTAGGGAATTGATAATTCACAAGACTGGCTGCTAATAGCACAAAATTGGTTGCTCATGATCTAGAAGCCCATCTACCTGACCTATTAACTTAGAAAACAGAGCCAGGACTAGTTCTGATGGAAATCTGAAGGATAGCTAGCCCTTCTCGTGAGATAAAGGGGGAGTATCAGTGTCATAACAAAGATATAAGAAGAACCTTCCTCCACCCCAACTCCCAGCCTAGGATATTGGGATAATATAATACAAAATGCCTTCCCAGTTTCCTTCTGGTTCCCTGAGTGTCAGTACACACGCATACAATTTCCAAACTGATCGGTTCTACAGACCTTCAGAATAAAAAGAAACAGTAGTGTTTTGGTTAGGTTTTTTTTCCCTTTTCTTTTGTGGTTGCTCAGCACAATTAGAGTTCAGGTGTTTAATTTTAGAATGTAAAGTGCCTGCTGTTTTAAGCATTGACTTGTACTAACAGAATTGCATGTCTCCCTCCAGTAAGTTTCCCTATTTCTAGCTACATGGCTTTTAATCATGTAAAGTGGAAACATTAGTTTTGTTGTGTTTTATTATAGATCCTTTTGTTGGAATAAAGATGCTGCTAAAATAAATTGAATTAAATGTTTCTCCCCTACCCCATTTTAAACATTCTCTTTGATTTAAGGATGAAATTAAATCTCTAATTCAGCCTTCAAAAGTAACATTTCAAGGTTAGCAGAAGAGGGGAAAGAGGCCATTTTGTGAAGAATTACACAGGTTTTTAAGTATTAAAATTAGTCAAATCTCTACATTAATTAATGTGTGACGCCTAGAGGGAGATGTACGGTGTTGCTTTCAAGCTGCAAATTGTTGCTTTCAAGTTTCAAATTTTTCTCAGTAACCACCAGCTGGTGCTGCTGAGCAAGGAAAGATATTGCTTTGGAAATCAGCAGGCACAAGATGTATTTGTAGAAAGCATCTTGATGCAATGGTAAGAGCCCTGGATTTGGAACCAGAGGAACTGGGTTGGACTCATAGCCCTGCAACTTAATGCCTTTGCAACCTTGAGCAAGGCACTTAACCTCTTTAGACCTTAGTTTCCTCATCAGTAAAATTCAAGGGTTAGACTATGATTTCATCTATTCCCATCCACTCCTGTGGCTTCAGTTATCACCTTTATGCACTTGATTGACAAATCTACCCAGCCCCAACTTCTGTTAGCTATTCACTCTCAAGGACACTCTAATGGAGATCTCCACCAGGATATTACAGGCACCCATGTCCCATGTCAATATGTCCCAAGTTGAACTCATCTTGAAAAAACCTGTTTCCCTTCCTAATTTTTGTTTATGCTAAAAGTAGTCATCCAGTAACCCAGCCTCATGTAACTTGTCATCTTTGACTCCCCTCTCTTTTGAACTCAGAGTAATCTGCCAAGTTTTGTTCGTTCTGCCTCCACAATATCTCTTTTTTTCCAGGGTCACACAGCTAGTAAGTGTCAAGTGTTTGGTCTGAGACCGGATTTGAACTCAGGTCCTCCTGACTCGAAGGCTGGTGCTCTATCCACTGTGCCACCTAGCTGCCTCCTGCCTCCACAATATCTCAACTATCTTCTCCTTTCTGTTGCTGCTATGTTTACCCTACTTAAGGTTGTCATTTCTTCTTTCCTTTACTATTTCATTATCCTCTTAATCAGTCTTAACTAGTCTCCACTCTCCAGACAATCTGCTGCCCAGATTATCTTTATCACGTACTACTATGTTGGCCTCAAAACTTCCAGGTGTCCACATTGTCTACTGAATTAAAAACAGTCCTAATCCTGGCTTCCAAGGCCCTCCACAAGCTAGTTCAAGCCTATCTTTTCTGGTTTACCTCATATCTTTCTATACTCTGCTTTCCAAGCAATCAAAACTACTCTTTATTCTCCATGCTTGTGTCTTTTATCTTTGCTTTTTCTTGTGCTTTGAATAGACTCTTGCCTTTCATCTGTTGAAATCCTTTTCTTCTTGGTCCAGTTCCTCCCAGATCACATCCTCACACTTCAGCGTGAAAGTAATTCTTCCCTCAAATTCCTAGATCCTTTGCACTTCATGTACAGTCATTTATGTACTTGTATTGAAGTAATTCTCATCTTGTCTCTGTCTCCCATTAGATTATAAACTCTTTGGGAGTAGATTCTGTGTCATCTTTCTTTATATCCACAGTGCCTTGGTTATAGTCATGCTTAAATAAATGTTTGTTGAATTGAGTTAGCAAGAATTAAGTCCCCATCACCAAGATTCTACCTTTGGTAGAAATAGAGGGTCAGAATAGAATCATCATGAAAGGGAAGCTCACCCTCCTGGTCCTAGGAGTGCTGAACCCTATTGAACCATCACTAGCAAAGAATAAATCTCAGTTTAGTATTAAAGAGGGATATTAGTCCCATGTGCTCAAGAGAGTTCATCTTACTCTAAAACTCTGGTTGATAGAAATTTGCTAATGTTTGTTCTATTAGAATGCCATGGCTTTCTCCTCTGAGACTACTATAAACCTAGGGCTCACAGTTTGATAGAGGAGGCAGATAAAATGCTAAGATAGCTGAGGTAGATATGTTTGACTAAGATATTTCAGTAATAACTTGAGGAGAGGCAATGTGGTATAGTATAGAGAGCTGGTCTGAAAGCCAGGAAGTCCTGCCTCTGACATCCTGGCTAAATGATCCCAGGTAAGTCATTTAACCTCTCAGTGCTCTGGACAACCCCCCATGGGTCATGACACAGCTCAGATAGAAACTGGGGCCACTAAATTGTACATAAGGATCCCTGAAGTCACATATTGATTTAGAAAAGCACATATTAACATTATTTATGTTCTATTGTGTTTTTATTTATTTTGTCAAGTATTCCCACATTTACATCTTAATCTGGTTTGGAATTTACTAAGGAATATTGAGAAGTGTTTGACAGACATCTCTGCTCTCCAGCTGTGTTGCAAAAAAGGTGCTGACCTGTATTAGTAGAGGGAATTTCCTCACCTGGGACTTTACTGTATTATTGAAGTTAGAAGTCTAGTCTCTATTCATCTCCTCAGGAATAACCCTCCTTCTTATTTGATCCCTTAAACCAGGGATTAAGGATTTCAAATCAAAGGATTTCAAAGTTGAGAGGGACCTCAGAATCCAACCCATACCTGAACAAGAATTCCATCTACAAAATATGAGAAATGTGTTCTTTTAGCCTTTGCTTTGCTTGAAGACATCAGTGAGGAGGAAGCTGCTGCCTCCTGAGGCAGCCCGTTCCACTTTTGGATAGCTCTCATTATTAAGACAGGTTTTTTGTTTTGTTTCTGACAGGAAGCCTGAATTTCTCTCTTTGCAACTTCGACCCAGTATTCCCAGTTCTTCTTTCTGGAATCATACAGAATGCGTATAATCCCTCTTCCAAATGACATATCTTCAGATCCTTGAAGATATAGCTATCATGTTTCTTCTGAGTTGTCTATTTCCCAGGCTATTGCTCTCCAGAGTGTCAATGCCCTTTGTAAAACATGGTACCTAAAAATGAATGTAATACAATTAAATGTGGTCTACCTGGTACCTGCACTCATAACAATTACCTTTTTCCTACAAGTCCAAGGTCACAACTTTTTGGACAACTATATTACACTCAGTGATTTTCAGTTTTAAGTCCGCTTAAACCCATGGATCTTTTTCAAACTAATTACTGTCTTACAATACCTTCCCTCATCTTGCATTGGGAAACTGATTGAATTAACAGGCATTTATTTCCTTCCACCCAAGCTCTACCACCAGCCCTCTCATAGAAAAAGGAAAGAAAAAATCCTTGTAACAAATATGCACAGGAAAACAAAACAAATTCCCATATTGGCCATCTCACTTATATATGTATATATGTGTATATATACATACACATATATACATACATCTATACATATATAATTAGAATCATGATTGGTCATTGAATTGATTAGAGTTCTTGAGTCTTTCAAAAAAATTTTTTTACAATTTTATTATACTAAAAGTTGTTTTCCTGGTTCTAACCACTTCATCCTATATCAGTTCATAAAGTTTTCACAAGTCTCTGAAACTATCCTCTTCATCATTTCTGACAGTGCAATAATATTCCATTGTATTCCTATACCATAATTTGTTCAGCCATTCTCCAATTAATGGGTACCCTCTTATTTTCTAAAAGTTTGCTACTACCAAAGAAAGTTTCTGAAAATATTTTTGTACAGGGAATTTTTTCCCTATTTCTTTGATTTCTTTGGGATAGAACTAGTAGTGGTATCACTAGGTCAAAGGATACGCACAGTTTGGTAACCTTGGGGACATACTTCTAAATTGCTTTCCAGAATGGCTATAATAGTTTGTAACTCCACCAAGAGTACATCGATCACTTTTCCTTTTTGTCAGCTTTGCCAATCTGAAGAGTGTATAGTGGACCTTCAGAATAACTTTAATGTCCATTTTGCTAATTATCACTGATTTGGAGAATTTTCTCATATGACTCGAAATGGCTTGGATTTCTTCCCTTGATAATTGCTTTTTCATATCTCTTAACCATTTGTCATTTAGAGAATGGCTCTTGCTCACAAAGTTGAATCAATTCCTTACATATTTGGAAATGCAATCCCTCTCAGTGAAACCTGCTATAAAGATTTTTCCCCAGTTATTTCTCTTCTAATCTAAATTGGATTGAATTTGTGCAAACCATTTTAAATTTTGTATAATCAAAATTGCCCATTTTATCTTTTGTTATATTTTCTGACCCTTGTTTGATCATGATCTCTTTTCTTATAAATCTGAGAGGTAATTTCTTCCTTACTGTTCTAATTTGTTTATGATGTCACTTTTTGTGCCTAGGTCATGTATCCATTTAAAAATTATCTTGGTATATGGTATGAAATGTTGGTTTGTACCTACTTTCTGCCAGACTTTTTCCCAGTTTTCCCAGGAGTTTTTACTGAATAGTAAATTCTTACCCCATTAGATCTGGTCTTTTGGTTTACTGAATGCTAGGCTACTTGGTTCACTTCTTTCTATATGTTATATGCCTACCCTCTCTAGTTTTGAACTGGTAGCAAATTGTTTTATTATTATTTGGTATTATAGTTTGAGGTTAGATACTACTAAGACTTCTTTCCCACTTCTTTTCATTACTTCCCTCAAGATTCTTGAATACCTTTTGTTCCATCAGATGAATTTCATTTTTTTCCCTAGTTTTATTAAGTTAACCTCTGGTAGTTTCATGGTGATTGCACTGAATAAATAAATTAATTTAAGCAATACTGTCATTTTTATTTTATTGGCTTGGACTACCCATGAGTAATTAATAGTTCTCCAGTGTTATTTAAGTCTGTATTTATTCCTGTAGAAAATGTTTTATAGGGGCAGCTAGGTGGCACAGTGGATAGAGCTCCCACCTTGGAGTCAGGAGGACCTGAGCTCAAATGTGGCCTCAGACGCTTGACACTTCCAGCTGTGTGACCCTGGGCAAGTCACTTAACTCCAATTGCCTCGCCAAAAAAAAAAATGTTTTATAATTGTAACCATATACTTACTGTGTGTATCTTGGTGGGTATTCTCCCAAGTATTTTATATATTCTGTAGTCATTTTATATGGAACCT